GGTCTCAAACTGTGTTCCCGTGTGTTGCTGTGCTGCTCATCTCAGATTCCGTGCATTTAGGAACAGTCAAAGAGGAAAGCCCCAAAATTATCTTCGAAAAGTGGAGCTCCCACGAGACTCCTGTCCACCCCGCCTTTGTTTATCATCATTAACATCATCAGCTGCGAACACCGCGTACTTGTTGTACAGTGGTTCTGGCTGCCACAGTTTCGTTCACGGATGATTTGGAGAGGTGGGGTAGGCGGCTGCGTATTAGATGCGGTAGCTGATATACCTGATGCGTAAATACAGGGTTGTCAATGTACTTTTAATTGGGGTGAATAGAAGAGGAGCCATGCATCGAGGACAGTAGCTTGGATGCAGGACCACCATGGAGACCGCGACTGGACCATGTCTGACAATGTCTCTAACCATTGATGCGTCATGTTCCACTCAGGCTTAGTCGGGGGAGGGGCATTCTCTCCCGAAAGAAGAGCCTCCGCCGTTTGTTTGGTCAAGTAAATATGTACGCCCACTACATTTTGATAAAAATACTGTGATAGTCTGAAGCTAGTGCACGATTATTGTCTCCCTTCCTGATATAACCTTCCGAAAACAGGAGCTTCCTATTGAAGACCACTGTTGGCTCTGAAAAAGGTGGTGGTCTCCCTTGTCTTAGCCTGGAAATAGTTATTTCAAGGTTGAAGGTACTCATTTGAAAGGACACGATTGTTATAACACAAAAAACAAGCTTTTTAATTGATGACTGTAACACGACGAAACGTCGAAACAAGTGTCATAATATCGTGCCCCTTTTATGACTCTTACATTTGATCTTCGATGTCATTCGATGTACCCTGGCTATCCATAGAAACCCTCCCACTTACATAAAAGTCTGCTTTAAGAGGACTTCCCTAAAGATATTGTACGATCGTGTCAGACCTGTTACGTTGTCCGATTGCGAATACATTTTTTCAACTTGGTGACCTGACTATAGCACTTTGGCCGACATTCAACAGCCTGCATCCACATGCCCGCATTCAAAAGCGATACAAGAACAGCACCAGTATAAGTTAAATAGACTAAGTTGCCCGTGCGGTGGGGGGACAGCATGAGATTACAATGCGTGACAAGTTTGCAAACGGGAGCATCATAGTTAAGCCATCACGCCAATGTTCAAATTCTGTCGTCATGACGCATTTGAAGACAAAAACATCAGTCTGACACTCGTCACGTAGAGTTCTAGGTGAATAAAGATAGTTTTAGTCAATCCGCGTTTGCACAAACGTCGCCTAATTAACTTGCTGCATCACTCTGAGGCCTGAGCAGACTGTGGACATGTCCGGTTTTGTCTTTTCTAAAAATCAGTGCTGATAAAAGCCTCCCACAAATGATCCGTTGTAGAGGACGAGTATGGATCCTTCGTCACAAAATTCTTTTCACTCTGTAATAAAGATGGGCTCTGAGTACTACCTGTTCCCGAAAAGTTTGGGATTCAAAACCGGTCCGTATTGAGGTCACCTTGACTAGAAGGCAGTCTTTCTTCGGGAGAAACTTGATGGGTGAGGAAATACCGCTTTCCTGAACCACTTAAACAACTGCGTTTCGCCGATGGAACAAAACATACATAACAACCAACAAGTTAACACTTATTTACCCAGTCTTTCTTCGGGAGAAACTTGATGGGTGAGGAAATACCGCTTTCCTGAACCACTTAAACAACTGCGTTTCGCCGATGGAACAAAACATACATAACAACCAACAAGTTAACAACTTATTTACCGGGGGGGGGGAGATTAAGACTGATTCAGAATACTATCCCTCAAGCTGTCAGCAAACAAAACAGAATAGATATCACATGGTCACGATACATTCTCCGAATTCGTTGAGGATCGAGAGTAGCTCACGGATCTGCTGTGTTCGTTTTGTCTCTGTCTGTGCGCTAAAGCAACATTACTAGCAGCATCCATATTCATTATATTCAGGGATCCGTGTGTTCTGCGGAGCGGGAAAGTTCGCCGAAAGCGGAAAATGAGATATAAGACACAGAAAAGTACTGAGTATTAGACTCTCGAAGATAATTTCGCAGGTGTACACAGTTTTACAGGTGACTCTCGGTTAGCTTTTGTTTCGTATTCTAGGTCAAACACAGCCACCCTAATTTTTCACTCTATTAAGGCCTCCGACATACCAAAAAGTTGATAGGCACTCCACCCCTGTTAGAAATCATCAATAACGACCATCTAGAAAGACTAAAAACACCCATGACTCCCCCTTCCCCCGAGATGGCAGTTGAGTTGTTTGTAGTAAGCTAACTCGTCAGATATCTGTCTGTAATAGAAGGACCGGTTGTAGTGATCTTGCGAATAGGAGTGACAACGGTGGGCTCAAGAGAGTTTTCCACTTCAAAACAGCAGTATTCATATCCTGTTTAATCATTCTTGGATAATATCCACCACGTATTTCTTCTGTTGTATCCGACTTGAGCTTCTTGATTTAGTCCGACATGCCACTTTTGGAGTTATTTTTTGGATATTTATCTTCCCGAATTCGATACCTCGCAGAAGTAGCTTGTCTTTGATCGCGCACGAGTAGGACAGATATCGACAATAAATTCGATCAACATGTACCCACGTTGTATCCCACTTCAGACCTTTGTCTGTGTCGGTTCCGCATTCCTACCCTAAGCTGCAAAGAACAGAGCAGATACAGACTCATCAATATTCTACGGAAAATTTTAGATCATTTTATGAAAGCCAAAGGGCTCGGAGATGAGATTCGATTGGCGCTCATTTCAGAAAGCGGCTTTGTGTCCAATCTGAAAAGTGAAGACAAGTTAACAGCAGGAATCCAGTCAACATGCGAAGGAAATTACAGGGTGCTGAAAAGACGTGGTTAAACTCCCATTTACAATTAGTATCCTGCGAGTTATACAGATATTTGACTACTGTTCACCAGAATTATAATAGTTAGCTCAATATTCAGACGTTTCGCTAATAATTCCATTGCTTGTGCAGGAGCTGGCTATGAATAGCTCACTTGTGCGTAGTTTTCAGGCCCGTGCAGAACGAGTTCGGTGACGGGCTACCTCTTAAATGGGTGGTTCGGAGACAAGCTAGATCGCGCTATATTGTCCTACGACGGACAATCCACCAATACTTGGCACAGTGCTGCTCGTATCATTGAGCTTCGGTTGTACACAGGACGTTTTTTATACGTAATTTCGATTTCGATCCCTCGTATACACCAGGTAGGTGAGAGCAAACAGATCGCTCGAAGTCGCGCATTCATCTTACACTATTTGACTGCAAACGGAAAAAAGGTGACTTAACTTGATTCTCAACCTTGAACATCAAAATAAGACAAAAAATCCAGAGACTTGAAACCCCAGCAGGTAGATTTATCCAGAAAATTCTTTCCCGGAATTTCCGATCAAACATGGTAGGCACTGCGGATGCACGGGCCAGCCTTAATTCTGTTGGTTGATCAGCTGGTAGTTGATCTGTTTGCCGAGCATGGCGAACAGATCAACCCACCCGAACTACCTATATTTCGACAAATCCTTAATTCAGACTACTTTTCCGCTCATATGGAGAGTAGAACTAATCAGAGGGCTAGTAATGACTGTGAACACTGCAGCTATGGTTATAGGGGGTTCCTGGTTGAACGTATGACCACCGCAGCTGTGTTTAGGATGCGAAGGTACTAGCCAGACTATTCGTGGTTCGAATCCACCCCTGGATTTTTCATTACCCCCGCAGTATCTAAACACTGGGGATTACTCGGAGTTGCGAGGCAACGATGTGCCTTCAGACGTTATAATATGCCTAAACTGGTGAGCTTGATCGTTGAACTAGACTTTGGTTCCCTCAATTGCCAAAGAATCTAATAAGGAAGTGTACCCAATGGCGGAAAAGTGAAATCACCATAAAATTAGGCCTCATCATGGCGCTTCCCTAGGGTGCACTTCCAGCTTTCTAGCCATCAGATGGCCTTCGAATTTCGGAACGCGAAACACGCAGGTGGAACAACTGTGTCCACTCGATGTTTGAAAAAATCATCCGACTGTAGCACCCTTCCAGTGCCTAACTGCCATGCCACCCGAAGGAAGCACGAGGGCTGGGATACTGCCAGTTTGCCCAAGCCTAGAAAGGGGAAGTCGAGAGGCAGAGGTCGGGTTCGAACCACGGACCTTCCGGTCAGTAAATTCGCTCTCTAACAACTTGGACCATCTCGCCCTAGTATCCGATTGATCAGAAGCGAGCCTCGTACGACAGCCAACCCCTTGCATGACAGGTTTGGGTGTGTGGAACGGAGAGTTCCCCCACCCCTAAACATGGAAACCAGCTGACAGTGGGACAGCATTCGCACTGTCTGTGTTATACTGTCCATCCTCAGAAAGGTATGATGTAAGTGTGGCGACGCCCTTGATCATCCACAAGGTGACAGTTGTTAAAAACATTTGATGATGGTATTATTCCACAAAGTGACGAACATACAAACAGTTCGGTTGAACAGGCTAGCTAACCCAATAGGAAACATTCATGTCTTGCGAAGGGACCTCAGCGTACAACTGAGTGAGGAAAATTTGATCCTTTTATTCGCTCGTAGGACTGAAACAGCACACGATTAGTGCACGCAAGCCATTATCAAAGGAATACTTACTCATGCGAGCTTATGCAGGGTTTATGGATTACGCTGGCTACAGTAGCCTATATATAAATACACGGAGCCTCTTCCCTGTAAAGCCAAAAAGTCACAACGATCATACGATCAGGCGTATGACAAGATAAATTAGCTCAACAAAAGATGAAAATAACAGAAAACATGTGGCCCTGAATACCACCGCCCCGTAATACGCTGTGGGGACAGTTTAGGCCGAGAGTTACTTTTGTACATTCGATAAACAGTGATGGTGCTGACCAAAGCCTTTGTACATGACTGGAGCGAACACATACCAGCGAATGTATGGTTGACCGGATTCCATTGAATGATTGTCCTTGGAAGTAGTTGGAACGTTATTAGCTGGGGTGTGCAGGATAGAACGGATACATGGGAAACTCATTCGACTGGGGGACTTGTACAAACGGTAGGGATGCCTGCTGTGTTCCTGGAGGAGGAACTGGGACAGTTACTGTGACTGGGAATGGTGCCAAGCTATACGTATCTGGGGGGTCTGTCCGGTTGTAATTTGTATTTCCGTTTGATCCCATATGGATGCGCCGATGGGCGTGGAGATAACTTTTACTGGTGAAACTCTTATCACAATTTGGATAGTCACAGCGATATGGTCGTTCCCCCATATGCACATTCATATGCTCGGTCAGGCTGCGGGTGTAGAGAAACGTCTTTCCACAGCCAGGGTGAACGCAGTGATACTGACGACGTTGAGTCTTATCAACATGAACTCGCTTGTGAGCAAACAGGTTCCCCCGCCGGGCAAATCGATATGAACACCCTGGATGATCGCAAACATAAGGACGTTCTCCTGTATGTACGCGGATGTGTTCGATCAACCTGTCTTGACATATGAACACTTTATTACAGCTGGGGTAATTGCAGCAAAACTGATTACGTGCACAGACTGAAGAATTTTGTTCGTGTAGCTGATTGTGAGCTTGGAGGAGGGATTCTGAGACAAAACGCATTGAACAGCCAGAGTGGGAACATATGTAGGGCTTCTCTGAATTGTGACTCTGCTTATGATAAAACAAACTACTTCGGCTGAAGAATACCTTACCGCAATTTCGATATTCACAAGAATATCGTTTGAGGTAGGTGAGGGTAGCCACACGGGACACGTTTGGGCACTGAACATCTGTGTTTTCTGGACAAACAGTAAACTGGGACTCGATCTGTGAGGACCGTTGAGGGTGTGAATTAGCTTGAGCGGACATGCTCTCAATGAATGCACTGAATTCTTCATCCAGTTCTTCTTTAACACGCAGAAGCTCAACCGGTGAGGACGCACGAGGATGAGGGCTAGCAGGCATATCGGAAATTGTGGTGTTGCCTTCTGAAGGAGTGCTGGGCACTTTAGCAATTATATTGGACTTGATCTCTCGGTTTAGGTTTTCCGCAGGCCTGAGCACCATATCTGGGTCGCACTGTGGAGGAGGCTGAGTAACAGACTGCTGTGTTTGTGATGGAACTTCCGCCAATGCCAATTCAAAAAAACGATTGGACAGTTGATGAAGAAGCAGGGCCACAGCAGAGTTGACTAGACCCGCAGCGAGGAAAGGAAGCCTGACTGATGAAGCTTTGATGTAATAATCATGCTGCATCGTCATCGGCGCAATATTATTTGGTGTAGCCGTAGAATCCATCGCAGGACCAAACGCCATCGACACGTGCAGCGAATGCAAGTCTCAGTTGGATTTCCGCACACAGACCTAAGCGAAACAGCGATGTTATGGCAATCGATCAATCTTTCCGTCCGTCAACCAATCACCAGTCGCGTTGGCAGCGCGCCAGTCTGGTTCACGCGTGTGTCTGTTTCGCACACGAACAGTGGATACGCAGAGAAGCGAAGCCGTCGAAAGCATGTGGACGGACTGACGGCGGAGAGCTAGCGCCGCTTAACCGCTCACCTTGTGGCAATCTCACCGGTCATCAGCTGACTGGTGTGCAGAAAGTAGGCAGGGTCTCAGTCATTTTGGAGATTCCGAGTTCAGTGATTAGCTGAACGACACAATGGGCGGATTTCAGGTACTCTGGCTGGAATCCGGGTACAAATGCCTGCAGAAAATTGATGAAACCATTTTGTTAACAGTTGTGGGTACACGGTTTAAGGTGTGCTCATTGTACACTCGTAAGACATCGCATTTTGTTCTAATGGTCCTGAACATTTGAACTAGCGAGTGATTGCATGCTCGACTTATACAATGGTCCTGAGTTTATGAAAAGTACATCTTTCGTGCGTGAGCTTGGTTGGATTAAAATAAAAACCTCAAAATTTACAGTACAGTTTGGAGTGGCTATGGATTGCTATGGGTTGTATATATTAGGACGGCTTCAGGAAATCCCATTTTGGTTTCCTTTTCAAAATGTCTTTTTCACTAGTCAGCCAAGAAACTAAATGGATGATTGTTAAAAGAAAAATAAAACGGTAGAGGCAGACTTTTTTTCGTAATTCAGTTTTTCGTCAGGAACAGGATAATCGGAATCACAAGAGATAGAGGCAACAGAGGTTGGTTGGTACCTACCTGTGGGTAGTAAACAGTCAAAAGGTTTTTCTAAGAAATTCCGCTCCTAAGGTTGTGTTTTTAGCCAGCAGTCAAACCAACCTGAACAGTAATTTTGACAGCGTGACTTGTCATGAAAAGATATATTCGTCTCAGAAAATCCATTTCCGTGCACACTGGACATTATGAGATAACATCGTATTATGTTTATTATTACTCAGGGGAAACGTAGCTCAGTACTCCAAGCACTGCACCTTCCCTCGAAGAACATCAAAAAATCAACTGTTTCCCAAATGAGTCTTCCACTCGCACCAGCGAGTGAAATGTCTTGAATGTTTGAATTACCCACGACTGAATTACAGCAAGTGAGCAATATGTGTGAAATCTACCAACTGAAGTAATGCATCAAGCTCATACACAGCTCACGCGGTGGTAGATCAAACTCTCCTCCACAATCGGTCCTCACACAATGTACAAAATCAACTCAACAACCCTTGGTTTATGGACCTCTGTTTAACCGAAACTTCACTTGGTCGAGATTCAATTTTCAACAACTAACATGATGTGGTAGCAGTTGAACAGAACTGAGGCGGTGAATACTGACCAGAATATTTTGTCGATGAATGTGTCAAAATGAAATCGCACTTGAAGAGTCCTGTAAACCAAGTACTCAGAAACAAAACCTGCAATCAGTCAGCGACGAGCGAAATGGTAGAGTTATAACCAACCTAGCTAGATATAATATATTCCGTGGAAAACTAACAGTGAAGGCATGTTATGAAATATCCTATGGGCGATCCTTCTACGAGAAATTAACATACACACCGAAATGCTTGGATGTAGAGTGGATTCTGTGGTAACATTGGAGGTGACAAGGTAAATAGAAAAGTCGGCTGAAGCTTGCAATTTCGGCACGAACGTGTTATCAACAGGAGTAGGATTGTCACATAATAATAATAATAATAATAATAATAATAATCATAATAATAATTGTCANGGAGCTGATAAATTGGTGTATAAATCCAACACTGTCAGCTGGATGTCAAGTGAGCGGGGTTGGAAACGGAGCTATGCATTGAAGGCAATAGCTTGGATGCACGAGCGCCATTGAGGGCGCGACTGTGCCATATCTGACAATGTCTCTAGCCCTTGATGTGACCCGTCCCGAGGTCCCCATCCAGGAAGACGGCAGTGACCAGCGCAGCTGAGTCTGCTGTTAATGGTTTTCGTACTTCGCTGTCTCTGTCTCTCTTCCACCCTTCACGTTGTTTTGCGAACAGAGCCCTTCGAGGAAGTCGGTCGACTGGCATACGCAACACGTGGCCAAGCCAGCACAACCTATGCAGCATGATCAGTTCATCTATCGAGGGTGAGTTATTTCTCCCGAATACCATTCGACGTACTTCAGAATTGCTGATCCGGTGTTCTCACCAGACTCGGGCAATGCTCCGAATTCATCGATGGTAAAACACTGAAAGTCTTTTGACGTCCTCGGCGCGCAGCGGCCAGGGTTCTTATCCCTAT